GTATGATGATAACGCCATAGATCCGCAAGTTGAATACAACGAGGTTAGTAATTTATTTTATGCCTTATTTAATGAGTTTCGTGCACAATATGACAATGCACCCCTCCCCCGACACACACATCTTCATCTAAAGGAAAATCACTTTTTAAATCTGCTTTTGGCAATCTTATGAAAAAACCTAAAACAACTCACACTACTGAACAAAGCGCACTTAATGAGATTTCTTTGTATATTAATTATGAGGTAGAATTTGATGAAAATGAGGAGTCTGACGTTCTAAAGTGGTGGAAGTCAAAAGAAAGAATGTTTCCGATTTTGGCACGGATGGCTAAGCAAGTGCTATCAATGCCGGTTTCAACAGTTGCCGTGGAACAAGAATTTAGTTCGGCCGGCAACGTTCTAACGGCATCTAGAACGAGTTTGAGCGCTGAGTCTCTTGAGACGCTTATATGCTACCACGATTGGTTGAAGGTCATACGTAGATGTCAAGAAGTTAGCATCACCCCCTCCCAAGACTTTATGGATGAATCAACAACCGAGGCTGGCTCCTATGCCGGAGATTCCGATTGATTAGTATTTTACAGTTTATTATAAAATGTATTTCATGTTTTATTTTTTCCTTCAATTCTCTATTGTAATTTGTAAAGTTGTATTTCATATTTCAAACAAATATACATTCTTTTTTTTATATGTAGCACTTCTCAAATTAATTAATTAATTAATTAATTAATTGGTTACAAACTTACAACTTACAACTTACAACTTACAACGTAACTTAGAATTTATTGTATTAGTATTTTTTGAAAAATGTATTTCATATTTAAGTTGTATTAAAAAGATAAAAAAAAATTAAACTAGGCCCAACCCGACCCGGCGGGTGGCCCGGCCCGAACCGGAACCGGGCGAAGAACGGGCCGGTTCTGGGCCCCCCTTTATAGGACCGGAGGCCCGACCGGGCCTAGGTCCGGGCCCGTCCCGAACCGAGTCCAGCCCTAATCATGAATATAAAAGTATTTGAAATTCATCTGGTTGAATTATTATCAATGACATTTCTTTCATGAGTAGCAAAGAAGAGATATCAAGGAAAAAGAAATTTCATCATTTCATGACCTAAAAGATAGGTCAAGCATCCATAAGTGACCTAAAATATAGAATGTATCAGTATAAGAGTTAAATAATTGAAAGCTATTAATTATATATAAGACCTAGCTAAAATAACATGGATTTTGATTTATTTAAATATTTTATTTACTCTTTTACTAATTTGTGATGATTCTATTTGCACAATTTTTTTAAAGTAAAAAATCTATTAGTTTAATAAGATCGAATGATATTTAATTTTCTAAAATAGAAGTATCAAAATTATGATATTTTATTTCTTATGTAGTACTTTTGAGTATTTTCCCTTAACTACTTTCAATAGTATTTATTCCACGATGGAGTAGCTAAGTAGAAAAGTAATGATCAACAATAATGAATTACAAATATGATTATAATTTGTGTTTTAATTCAAAATTTAATTTTATAAACAATTTTCATTGAATATAAGAGTTATAATAAATTTGATTTAACAAATATTAACGTGAGGGCAAAGAATGAGAATGATCCAAACTCGGGGGTAACTAATTAGTTTTTGAATATATCCTCTATCATTATTGTTTTGGATGTCTCAAAAAATTATTCTCATTTCTTGTTTTGGTAAGTTTTGTGTGGCTAACATTCATTTGCCTTTTTATTACTCAAACACAATCATACATTTCTACTTTATTATAACTTTCTTAATAAGCGTATCAAGTCAAACTGTGCAGTATTTTTTGGGACGAAAGGAATATTAATTGATTAATCACACTTACAACTTACTTCCTTTCAGACTTTCGTTGCATTTAAAACAAAAGTGTTGGAGGAAATTCGCCGGATAAACCTGAAAAAAACGTTAGAGAATAATCTAGCTCGAGTCGCGTAAACGCTGTCCTCAAGAAAGTATTTCCGACTAGCGAAAACCTTTCCCCAAGATAAAACGAGCTCTTCGGCTTACGCCGGCAACAGAACAACGAGAATAGAAAATAATATTAATCCAGCAGCGTTATAATATTTTAGGGGATGTTCGACTAAAAAAATAATCAACTCAAAATAAATTTTGTCTAGCCAATTCAACTTCCTACTTAGCCAAACACACACATGTACATATATATACTGTTATTATCAAAGCAGAAGTTGAGTGTTGATGCTCAGGTGAAACGTTAGCATTAAAAACTAACGTTCAAAATATTGATTAAGATTAATGTTGAAAATCACAGCAAAGAGCAACGGCTCATATCCCATAACTTTAATTTGTGCAGTACTACTTTATGGGCTTTCAACGTTTAAAAGATTAAACACTAATAATATAGAATATTGAATGTTCACGTTTGTATACTTTCCAAAGTAAATAGATATAATTAGTGCTTACCGTTATTCTTTGGAAAACTCAATGATCATTCAATAAATTTATCTTTTTTTAATATATTCAATTTATTAATAAAATAATATTATTAGATAATTTATTCATTTGAAATACTCCCAATTATTCCAACAATCCCCCACATATTTCAAATGAATAATTTTGAAAACAGTTTAGAAAATTTCTGCTGGATTAAAGGAATGAGACTTTAAGTTTGGTGTCCTTAGACTTGAACCAAACCGAGACGATTAAGTCTTAATAAACCGAGCTTGTGGTGAAACCTATAGTTTCTTGAAACTAACAAGCTACTATATGTAAATCAGGGTCTTAACGATCGTGTCTCACCCTGCACAATTTCTCGTTATTACGCCGTTGTGCGCCGTAAGGCCATGCGCGTGCTTGGTGTTCATGAGTGCTCTAGAAGTTTTGTCATGCTTCATAGAGGCGGCCCCACCTCACACTCATATAGGTGATATCATCAAGTGTGTACCGCTTTTGCACACCACCCTAAAAGTAAGGGCTATGATAATCATTAAGAGCTTTCAGCTCATCCTCTCAAAGTATGCGGTTTCTAGCCTATATCTCACATCATGGAAATGGGCAATTTTAGTTAGGCTAGCAGAACTAAATGGAAGACTTGTTATTACCCATTTGAACTTGCTTCATGGGATCTCCAATCACACAAGTTGGGTTCCCATCCCCATTTGTTTCAAGTGACACTAGTCCCATTTCCTTCGATGTTTCGGTTATAATTTTTCGTCCTAGGGCTTTTGTCAAAGGATCCGCTAAATTTCCTTGTGACCTCACAAAATTAATGGACACAATTCCATTCTTCAATAATCGTTTAATGACTTTATGCCTTAAACGAATGTGTCTATTCTTCCCATTATAACACATTTTCTTAGCAGTATCTATTGCACTTCTGCAATCACAATGAATAGACACAGATGGTATTGGTTTTGTACCAACCGGAATTTCTGCTAAGAAAGATTTCAACCACTCCGCTTCACTACAGGCTACTTCCAAAGCAATAAGCTTGGACTCCATAGTGGATCTAGAAATTATAGTTTGTTTGGTTGATTTCCACGTAATGGCACCACCTCCAAGGGTGAATATATATCCAGTGTTGGATTTTATCTCATCTGAGTCAGTGACCCAGTTAGCATCGCTGTATCCCTCTAGTACAGCGGGTATCCCACTATAAAATATACCATAATTAGTGGTACCTCTCAAATATCTAAGTAACTGCCTCAACGCGGTCCAGTGATCCCCACTTGGATTATGAGTATATCGACTCAATCTTCCGACAGCATAAGCTATGTCGGGCCTCGTATAATTCATCAAGTGTAATAAACTTCCAATAATTTGGGAATACTCATATTGAGCCTCGAGATCACCTCTATATTTTTTCAAATGTGTATGAGAGTCATAAGGGGTGCTCACGGGGCTGACATCGAAATGTCCAAACCTCTTTAGAAGTTTTTCAACATAATGCTCTTGAGATAGTATAATACCATCATCCTTCCTTATGACTTTCATACCTAAAATCACTTTTGCTTCCCCCAAATCTTTCATAACAAATTTTGAAGCAAGAAAGGATTTTGTCTCAATTATTAACTCAAGGTTGCTACTAAAAATTAACATATCATCCACATATAAGCAAATAATAATGCACACACCATTTTCACATTTAGTGTATACACACTTATCTACTTCTAGTGAGGTAAAACCATGAGCAAATAACACTTCATCAAATTTTTCATTCCATTGTTTTGGAGCTTGTTTCAAACCATATAAAGATTTGATCAACTTACACACTTTGTGTTCCTGACCAATAACTACATGACCCTCCGGTTGCACCATATAAATTTCTTCCTCTAGCTCACCATTTAAAAACGCAGTTTTAACATCCATTTGATGGACAAAAAGTTTGTGAATAGAAGCCAAGACAATTAAAGTTCGTATAGAAGAAATACGCGTTACCGGTGCAAATGTGTCAAAATAATCAACATCTTGCTTTTGAGAAAACCCTTTTGCCACAAGCCTCGCTTTGTATTTCTCAATTGAACCATCCGGATTTAATTTCTTTTTAAAAATCCATTTGCATCCGATTGGTTTGCAACCTTTCGGTAAATCGGTTAAAATCCAAGTTTTATTTTGTTTGATAGAATCAATTTCGTTTTGTATGGCCTCAAGCCAAAAAGGAGCTTCTTTGGAAGAAATAGCTTGTGAATAAGTTAAAGGTTCATCATTAACAAGATATGTATAAAAATCATTTCCAAAAGATTTTTCTATCCTTGGCCTCTTACTTCTTCTCAAAAGAGAAGGTTCATCATTAAAAGAGTCATTTTCTTTTAATGGCTCACTATCACTAGAGGGTTCATCATTAAAGGTTTCATTTCCTTGTAATGGATCATCTTAAAATCTTATAATGGCCAATGAGGGTTAGGGCATTTTGGGGATAGGAAAAAATGTTGGTGTAATCATCTAGCTCAATAAGGTTGTACTATGCAATTTAGGAGGTGTACTCTCTTTAAGAAACTCATTTTTCCGTTTTATATCCGTTTAATGCCTCCGTTCATCTGCCTCTCTTCTGTCACCGTCAAACGACCTTTTCTCTTCAAACCATATGCAGCTGCCTTCTTTCGCATTGCAGCTATTCCACATCGATCGAGCTGCTCTGCCGGCTGCTCTCCCTCTCATAATGCCGGCTGATTGCTCAAACTATGACATGATCACCACCCACTTCTCTCGTTCGTACAACCCAAACAAGCTATTGAATCCAGGGTTTCTCTCCCCTGCGATTGTCATCTATTTTCTGGTATATATGTAAATTTCTATTCTTTGTTTATCTCATCGCTAGGTTCAATTTTTTGTATTAATCTGCTATTTGGGCCCAATTGAAATATAACTACCTAATAAGAAAAACTTCCCCTTCGATAGACAATAACCTTAGTCGGTATTTTTCTTTGCGGATATTTTAGTTGTGGTTGAAGGCAGTTAACATCAGTAATCCAGCACTGTGTATTTCTTTCCTCAATCTGGGATAAATAATAATTGAGCAATACTTTTGAATAGTAGTGTGCCTTTGTTAATTGTCGACCGTAATCGATGTATGGATGATAAGCGATCTAAGTTGCTAGGATGGGTACTATCACATTTACGTGATGCACACTTCAACTTAAGCACATATATGGCCATTCATATAGAAAAGGAGGTACAATATATAAAATGTGGTGATTTATCAATTTTTTTTCTTCATGGAATGAGTAAAAAATTATTCCCAGTGGCTAATATCATAAGAAAATGAACTGACCAATCAGGGGCGGAGCCACTCCAGGACACTGGGCCGAACTAGATTGGTACAAAGAATATTTTAGGAAAAGATTTTACACGGAATTTTTTATTGTAAAAATATAGACATTTTTAAAATTTGGGCTGGACCAGGGCCAAGGTCGGCCGCTCCCTAGCTACGCCCCCTGTGACCAATAGGAATATGTCATTCATAATGCAGCCATTCATATAAAAAAGAAGGTACAATATGATAAAATGTGGTGATTTATCAATTTTCTTCCTTTTAGTGGAATGAAGTAAAAAATTATTCCCAGTGGTTGTATCATAAGAAATGAACTGATCGATAGGAGTATGCCATTCATAATGCAGTTCCTACGTAGGATGGCTCAACCGTACGATAAAAGTGGTGCACTGGGTAAGAAGACACTCTTATCTAAAAAAGACTTGGAGAGGATGGTTAGTAGTCCTGAAGGTGAAATTCTGGATTGAGCATTCTCTGCATTTTAGTTTCTGCAAGCTCTTTTTTCCTCTTTCCCTCCTTTCTTTGTCTTTCATATTTGTTGTCACACAATGATTGATGACTAGCGATGACTGGAGATGAATAGATTCTGTTCTAAACTTTCAGCCTGATCAGTTGTGTGCAATGATATCATCCTAACTTACAATGACCTCTGCTAATGTCATTTGGAATGATAAGTTTTCTTAGCCAATAGTTTGACGCTGCATTGCTTTCTTCACCTCCAAAATACTTGCTCTCCTACCTTTTGAATTTCATTAACCGAAAGAAGTATTTTAGAGATTACTTAATGTCCTGCTTGTTTCAAAAAAGATTAACTCGAAGAATTCTACCACTTTGATAAACACCAGTTAAGTAATGATATGATTGTATTGTCTTGATTCCCTTATTGCTTAGTTGGTGAAAGGACCATCCAACTGATTTGCTGAAAATACCCGGTCGAGGACAAGGAGGAGTGTGACTTTATAGTCGACTAAAAGCACAGTCAACCATATGAGGCATGTTACTATGTAGAATATAGCATTATATAGACGTAGAGGTCAAGATGGAATGACTGCCACGTCAAGAGTGTGGCCTAATCATGTACCCATTGTGTGATAAGAGTTGTCCAAGTTTCCAAAAGGTCAGGGAAGCTCTCATAGTATGTTCTTTTATGAGGAGTCGAACATAAGTCTTTGGATCTCCAAGTGTTTTACTTTTCTCCACCACAAAAGTAGGCACACTCTTAATGCCAATTGCCAGCGAAGGGAAATGGGAATGGTGTGCCAATGAGATAGGTCTAGAATGTTACTGTGATGTAACTTTTACTTAGGACTAACTTGGTTGTTTAGTTCATACACTGTGGAGAGAACATCCCTAAGATGGAATATAACAACACTGCCGAGGTTATGAAAATTAAATTTTTTTCATGGAATGATAAGTAGGGGCATGTGAGCAAATGAGCAAATTTATATTGATATAACTGGTAACCAAGTTTATACTGATATAAATCGCCCTATATTTGGGTCTTGGTTAATGTGTGTGCTTCACTCTGCCTTGCTCAACGAGTGCAACCCAACGTACTCGCCCTTTTCTTCATCCATCAGATTTTGCATGGGTTTTCTCCATGCTAATACCTCTATGAAGGCTCAACTTTAGCTCACTGTGGGTGACTTGACTTTGGTTTGTTCAACTACAAAAAAAAGTTCTTCATGTTTCCCTTGTTTCTCACTCTTGAGTATGACGTTGTAACACACTCAATAGGCTTATGATGTATTATACAAATGAACGTCTATACAGAAACTAAAATTGGGCATTATCCCCTCGCGCATCGCGCGTTCAAATAACTAGTACTCACTATATGGTGCAACGGTCTTGTGTTCACGTTTCAAAGGAAACACATTTTCAAAAAATTCAGCATTTTTTGTTTCAACAATTGTATCACATTCAAGCACATCACTTTTCAAAACAAGAAATCTATAAGCGGCACTAGATTCAGCATAACCAATAAACATGCAATCAGAAGTCTTAGAACCGATTTTCCTCTTCTTGGGATCAGGCAATAAGACTTTAGCCAAACACCCCCACACTTTCAAATATTTCAAATTAGGTGCAAAGCCTTTCCACAATTCATAAGGGGTTTTCTTATAGTGCTTACGAGGAATCCTATTTTGTAAGTGACAAGCAGAAAGAATAGCCTCCCCCCAAAGATTATCAGGTGCACCGGAACTAATTAAAAGAGCATTCATCATCTCTTTTAGTGTCCTATTTTTTCTTTCAGCTATTCCATTAGATTCAGGTGAATATGGTGGAGTGACCTCATGGATTATCCCTTCTTTCTCACAAAAATCATTAAATAAAATATACTCACCCCCTCTATCCGATCTAACTCTCTTAATCTTTTTATTTAATTGATTTTCTACCTCGGATTTATACACTAAAAATTTATCAAAAGCCTCATCTTTATTTTTAAGCAAATAAACTTTAGTGTATCTAGAAAAATCATCTATAAATGTGACAATATTTTTTACCACCTCTAGTCATGGTATTTTTCAAATCACCTAAATCCGTGTGAATTAAACTAAGCAATTCAGATTCCCTATAAGTGGAGGGACAAGATTTTTTGGTTAGTTTAGATTGAACACAAACATCACATTTTTCTAGTGTCATTTTATTTTTACTAGAAATCAAACCACAATCATTTAGCATTTTAATATAAGAATTACTTGCATGTCCTAATCTAGCATGCCACACATCATAAGAATCAACTAAATAGACAAAAGCATTATCATGCAATATTTCAGAAATGCCAAGAATATATAGTCCTTTCTTACAATAGCCATTTCCCACAATAACATCATTTTTGGTCATAACAAAATTATCACAACCAAAAGAAACTTTAACCCCAACTTTTCCCAAAAGATAAACAGAAACTAAATTAGTCCGAATCTCGGGCACATGAAGCACATCATTTAGTGATAAAGTTTTCCCCGATGTGAGTTTAAGAAGAACTTTCCCTTTTCCATGCACCTTAACAGTTTTAGAGTTCGCTAGGTACACGAGCTCTTCACCATCTCCTATAATGGTATAGCCGTATAGGAGGTAAAAGCATTTTTGTTTTTACAAATATGCTTGGTAGCCCCGGAGTCTACCACCCACTCATTCACATCATTAATTTTACAACTTTAAGAAAGTATTTGGCGTCGGATATGTCTGCACGTGTGATCTCACAAGGCGTTGTCGCTGCACTCATCACGGCCATGTTATTCTTGCATGTGTGGTGTGATTTAGACTGGTATTTGGATATATCTATACGTATAATGATTACTCTTTTTACTTTCTTGAGATTGTTGGAGGAAATTCGCCGGATAAACCTGAAAAAAACGTTAGAGAATAATCTAGCTCGAGTCGCGTAAACGCTGTCCTCAAGAAAGTATTTCCGACTAGCGAAAACCTTTCCCCAAGATAAAACGAGCTCTTCGGCTTACGCCGGCAACATAACAACGAGAATAGAAAATAATATTAATCCAGCAGCGTTATAATATTTTAGGGGATGTTCGACTAAAAAAATAATCAACTCAAAATAAATTTTGTCTAGCCAATTCAACTTCCTACTTAGCCGAACACACACATGTACATATATATACTGTTGTTATCAAAGCAAAAGTTGAGTGTTGATGCTCAGGTGAAACGTTAGCATTAAAAACTAACGTTCAAAATATTGATTAAGATTAATGTTGAAAATCACAGCAAAGAGCAACGGCTCATATCCCATAACTTTAATTTGTGCAGTACTACTTTATGGGCTTTCAACGTTTAAAAGATTAAACACTAATAATATAGAATATTGAATGTTCACGTTTGTATACTTTCCAAAGTAAATAGATATAATTAGTGCTTACCGTTATTCTTTGGAAAACTCAATGATCATTCAATAAATTTATCTTTTTTTTAATATATTCAATTTATTAATAAAATAATATTATTAGATAATTTATTCATTTGAAATACTCCCAATTATTCCAACAAAAAGAAAACAAATCAAACTACTTACTCCATCACTCCCGTGTCTTTATTACGTTGTATATTTTACCTTTTTCTTATGTCCCATTACACATATTATATTTTGATATTGTTTGAGTAATTTCAATTTATATTTTTTTACTTCATTCAAGTTTTATCCATTTAATATCAATCACAAAACTATACCTTTTTAAAAATCATACTACTCTTTTTTTCAATATTAGGGGACGGGAGGCACTAATGTAGTAAAAAGTAGTATATATAAAATGCAAATAGTGTGTTTGGTTGTTAGCGCCTTTTAGGCAAGTTCCAATCTGTCTTTCCGGCGGATATTGTTTTTGCCCTTCTGTGATTATCATGTTCTTATAGTTAAGTGATGCTTCTACAACAGTCACATGACAGATGATAAAAAAAAATTGTCACATGACAGAAGTGGAAAAATTTGAAATCCAAAATTTCAGCATTAAGTGCTTCAGTTACAAATTTTGAAAGACAAAAGCGTGTTTGATAGATCACCGAATCCACTACTATATTTATTTCATTAGTAAATTATACTGAGGTAAAAAATAAAAATGAGCCTTCGAACTAATAAAAAAATGCAAATAAGCCTTTATATAAGGAATTATGTCTGGCCGTCATCATTTGGAGAGGTTCCCGGTTGAATTCTTTTATGAAATTTTTTGAGTATCTTCGTCATTAAGTCTAGTTTATTCATACCAAATTTCAGCTAAAAATTCAACCGGGAAGACAGTCAAATGATTTTCTGAAATATACTGCACTGTTTAAATGTGCAGTTATCTTCAAAAATTTATTTGACAGCCTTCCCGATTCAATTTTTAACTGAAATTTGGTATGAATAAACTAGACTTAATGAAGAAGATGCTCAAAAAATTTCATCAAAAAAATCCACCGGAAACCTCCCCAAATGACGACGACCGAACAGAACCTTCTATATAAGGGCTTATTTGCAATTTTTGGTTAGTTCGATGGCTTATTTGCCCCTTTTTATGTACAACAATTTCAGTCAATTCAATAAATAAACTAACTCCGAACTTAAAAATTTGCGTGTTTGATGAAAAATTGGAAAACATCCAACATCAGACAAAAAATTCAATTTGATTTTTTTGAAAAAGTATGAAAAAGTATTATTTGTTCCAATCCAGTCTAACCTACCCCGACTCCACCGTAATTCCACGGGTTGCAAGATTCCAACAAATCCAGTATACATATTCGAATTTCCATGTCCTCAAATAGTGATAAGATGAAGTGATGAACCATGACATATTTTCGCAAATTTCACCCAAGTTACCTTAAGAGGGAGGTTGTGACTTGTGGTCGGTCGGTGAATGTTAAATAGTAATCTCATGGTACATAAAACATATAAGAAAATATGAATACCAATAATTTTCAAATGTGAAAATTCTTTGATTGGTGTCCAAAATGATTAAAACAAATGTTAAATTTGATCGATTGGACTCTTTAGTGTCCTATTTGAGATACACATGTAATCATAATATTCAATTTGATCAATTTAAAATTTTAATGTCTAATATGAGATTCATATGTAATTATAATGTCCAATTTACCTTTATCCCTTATTTTTATAATATACGTATAAAATACGAATTATTATTATTATTATTATTATTATAAAATCTCTGAAAAACAGAAATTATTCATATGGAATTTAATCTTTCCCATTTTTTTTCGTTTAAGTTT